AAAGCATTCAGTTGCAGCATGATCATCAGAAAATTTTAATAAAATGTAATGTAATTATTTCAGTTGCTGACCTAAAATGAGCTTTCTGTAAACTCATTAATCTACCTGGTCTGGAAAGCCTTCTGCAGCCTTAGGACCAGCCCACCATGTTTAAACCTCCCCCAGATACTCTTCCTCCTTATAGGGAAGACGGTCAGCCTGATGTGCCAGGTGCAGGCCGTAACTGAGCATATAACCAAAAGCTGCAAACATCAAACTCTAGTCCTTCCATTTAAGCTCATCACCAAGGAAAAGAACCACCCTGAATACACTGTACTTGGTTCTTCACAGACCCTCCTAGGTGCTGTTCTAGGAATACTGGGAGATGGAAGTAGACATCGACCTGTTTGCCTCTCTATCGATACCTGTGCTGGGAGTGTTAGTTCATCTGAGCTTCACTTTAGCTGTTGTGCTCTGCTCAGAAGTGATTTGTGAAGCACCAGTATTTCCATAGCCACAACAACTAATCACGTTTTCTACTTATGATTTCCTGTGGTTTCAATGACTGTTGTGAGATTGCACCCCCCTTCACGGGTGCTTCTCATTGCCCCAGTTTGCTAAGCATCCCTCCCAGATCAGCTGGGGGAATGTAGGAAGAAATTACATATAAAAAAATAATAGAACAGCCTCTTCCGTGGAGACGAAGTTGACCTCACAACAAACACAGACATCAGCTGGGCAGTTGGTTCAACTTTTCCGAGTTTCTGACACATGTCCACCGGCAATGACTTGCCCTGGATGTAAGCAGGGCCACAGCCATACATCTGCCTCCAGTCACACTTTCTGGAGTTGAGAGAGATGCAATGTGTAGTGACAACAGAGCCTGGCCTGTCTGTGTGCCAGTGTGCCGTGAGATTATTTACTTTAATTTGCCTGGTGTTTGTAGATACAGATGCAATCCAATTCAAATGAAACTCATTAGCGAGCCACTTGCAAAGCTGAGATGACAGGGCAAAAGGTTTGGCAGCCGCATCCTTCCCTGCCTGGGCATGGCCTGTCTTGGGTGAGCTCTCACCAGCCCCGGTTCCTCCTCCCATCAAACCTGCCCGGTTCCACTTCCTCCTCACAGACCTGCTTCACAACAATGGGCCCTGCAAAACTTAACCTCTACAGGAAAGCATGGTAGCTTCTGATATAAAAAAGACTTCCTTTTCTGAGTAGAACAGTTGACATTGTATTTCTTCAGTACGTTGCCTAGTAAGTCTAGGAAACACTTTCATCATGACATTTGTACTCATCTCTGCACTCTTGTACTACAGTTCAGAGTCTCATTAGAAGTTAAATTATTTATGAAACTAATGACATCTTTTTTGCTATATATGATAAACCATCGTGTGATAAAGCTACAGTAACAGTTGAGAGGTTCACCTACGAAGTCAGCTTTGCATTGAACCTGATGTAGAATGTAACGTGAAGTCAAAACAGGAAAGATTAAACAAGCATCTTTGTTTGTAACGGGCTCTTTAACTTAAGCACTTCCATGGCTCCCACTGCTGTAGTGTCTGACCACAGTCACAGGTGCTGCTCAGGCAGGAATGTGGTAACGTGAAGTTCACAGCGGGGCAGGGAGGCAAATCTTGCTGGTTTATGTTCAAGGCCTGCATCATATTTGCTGGCCTGTATCTCCAACTCACTCGTGCTTTTAAATCCAAGCTGCGAGAATCCACAAGCCCTGAGCTCATCCCACAGCTGAGAACAAACAAGTACTTCACACTTTAAGCATTTTTCTGAAATCCTAAGCACCTTAGGAGCCCATGACACGTTTTCAGAATTGACTTGGCCATTTGAGTTTGATTCGAAGCTGCCAGAGGAAATAGATTTGCTCCCACTCAACTCTGGGCACTTTGGAGCCTGCCCCAAAACCAAGCGTCTCCTTTGAAAGTCTCCATTCCCCCTTCCCAGGTGGGTAAGGGAAAGCCACCAAATGGTGCCAGTAAGCACCTACCTGCCTCTTAGCCAGAAACAGCTGCATTTCACATGGCTGAAACTGGAGTGTGCATGGTGGAGAACAACAAAATTGAAGGAAAAGGCAATGACAAGAATTTCAGAGGAAAGATGATGAGTACAAGAACATAGAATGAGACTAAGAGATTCAGTATTTGTGACTGAAGGGGAAAGATTTTCTTGGTTCATGTTTTTTTGTAACCAAAAAAAGTTAATGTTCCTCAAACCTCTGCCTATTAACATGACTGTGTTAACATGAAACTCAGCTGGTATCGCAGCCATACTCACTGGTATCGCAGCCATACTCACTGGTATGGCAGCCATACTCCCCATTAACATGGGAATTTACCTACCTGTCTACTATGATGCTAGAGAAGACAGGTAACATCTGTTACATCTGTACAGCAGCCCAGCAATCCATTAGCAACTGCCCTGCACTGGCTATCAAACCCTATTTGTATTTTCATCTCACTAATATTTCCAAAAAGTATTTTCAGATAATAGAAAACTTCTGCTAAGAAGCACATTTTAGTGGAGGCTTTAAGCAACTTTGTCTTAAACTATTAAGGAGTGCGTGGAGGATATAAAACCAAAAGTTGTAATTTAAAAATATACTGGGTTTAGCCCAGGCCATGCTACAAAGAAAATAATAATAATAAAAAAAAAGCACAACTGGGAAACTTTTAGTATAGTACTATCACTGCTACATTTAATAAGGGAAAAGAGAGATTAAGTCACTGCTACTTTTGATAGGGGGAAAAGAGAGTTTAAAACATATGCCTGTTAAGAGCATTTTCCTGAAAGACAGCACACCCTGTTCTTACCAAGTTTGAGGAACTTTGGGAAGGAATGAATGGTGCTCTTTCTCCGCTAGTTGAGGAAGATCTGCTGCTCTTAGGGTTTCTTTACATTTTTTACATTGCAATAGGTACTAAAGAAACTTCTGCCTATCCAAAACTTTACTGATGATAAGAGCAGGGAGTTGTTGCTTAGGGTATACCTCGTCAGGGTGAGTTACAGCAGGGGTGCAGCGGTGTCCTTAGGTAGGTCTTAGAGACCAGGGATCTGTACTGAGTGATCTTCTGTGGTGCAAATATACTTTTTAGTTTTTAATCATAAAGACAGTTTCCATTCAAGGTACAAATCGAATAAAGGAGATAATTGCTCACTGAAGCAAACCGAGCAAATGCTTTTCCCTCTCCCTAATGGGCATAACAGAACCTTAAGAATGCAAAAATAATTGCTGATCTTGTGATTTGGAGGGCAAGCTGTACTCTTTTGCTGCATTGTGCAATATCCTGTAAATTTTCATTTTAAAAGACTGATTGTTCCACAGCTAAAGCTACCGTCCTTCATCTGGATGTATTTCTGCCATGTTAATCAAGCCTCAGCGATGCAATGTTTCCAGCCAAACAATATTAAAAATGAAGATGCTTTCCTTTAAGGAGGGTGTTAGCTTCAAAGCTAAGCAAGGATTACAGTCATGTTAACATGACTAAGCTCAGGGGAGAAGTTTAGGGAAGAAGAACCATAAAGAACTGGCCTGGCCAGATTCTCAGCGGACATTAATCACCCCAACCCTGCTCCAGACTGTGGAGTGTGCCTGATTTATTCACACTAAAGACCAAGACCCTGAAAAGTAAACGTACTAAATGTACCAGCTCTAAAAGTCAGATTGCATATTTTCAACAGAAGTTCAGAAATGCAAAAGCTGAAGCTCCCAGGGTAGCACTGGCTTGCAGTTCTGTCCTGCCCCATGCACTGGACTGTGCAGTTAGTAGATGTACAAAAGAGGAGAGGCATGAAGAATCTCATGTAGGTGTGGTCTGGCACAGTTAGGGTTCACATCAAAATAAACTTTTGTATTTCCTCATTACTTTTTTTTTTTTTTTTTTTTAACTGTTCAAGTCTGGTACTGGAGTGGGGGTGGGGAGGGCTTCCTGGAAGTGCCAGGATGAAGGTGGTTCACTGAAACATGTTCTTGCATCTGCCCTTCTATTTCATACCAAGAGAGGGTTTACCCTGAAGGGTGGGTGGATAGAAAGAAATCACAAACTGCAAATACGCCATGAAGGGGCTGTTCTACTTGGCCTGATAGGAAAATAGCGGGAAGAATTCATATGCCCTCATGTCTTTCTTTAAATCAAACCTAGATGCTGAAAGACATGACTGCCCGGGCAAGAGGCAACCATGCAACATCCTGTTTACCCAACTTTGCAACATTACAGTTTTATCGTTTTGTTTTTTTCCTTAAAACCTCTACTCCAGAAGCAATTGCAAGAGAACCTCAGATCACCCTTGAGACAGAAATGACTCGGGTCTTTTTACCTTGTAACTGCAGAAAAACAACAGACACCAAAACATTCTTCAACCAAAAGTCGAATAAGAAGAATGGAGCATATCTACCTGCTTTAGTATTCACTGATTTTAAGGCAGTTGCCAATGTTCGGGCTTAGTTCTTTAGTGCCACTGCTATTTTTTTCTACCTGTGCTGCTGTGTGACTCCTGGGCACCTACAAGGCGTGCATGCCCTTCTGCACCTAAAGGCAGGCACGGACTCTGTAGGTGGCTGAGCAACAGCATTTTGCAGGCAGCCAGCTGGCTTTGCTCTACAAGCAAACAGGAGAATTCAGACTGTAATTAGTAACAATTCACCTGCTCAGGGGAGCCACTCCTAAAACTGAGGACACACAGCAAGCAAGTGCTCACAGGACTGGGAGACCAACCAGTGTCCCTTTCAAAAGCGGTTTCTGGACCTAGCACAGGAACTGGGAATGTCAGTTGTTTAATGTGGATTGGATATAATTCTTTACAATGTCTTCTTCTGCCTCGGATCAAACACACTACTAAACAGCACAGTTTTGCTTGAAGACAACTTTGCTTTTTTACTAATCTCAATTTAGAAGACAGAACAGGATTAAATTTGTATGAAACTATATATAGAACTAAGCTGTATTTTAGAAGATTTTTAAATACAGACATGATGAATATAGGAAACATAGGAAATGCTCACTTACCCAAAATGCATCTTTAAACTGCAGCTGTGTCATTATTATTGCTCTGCGGAGGTAGAGGAATCCTTCAACAAGTTCGTTCTCAGATGAGACCAGCAGCAGGCACAGCACTGAGCTTTGCTGCTGTAGCCCAGCCAAAGCTGAAAGTGAAGCACATCCACAGACCTGTCTCTTCTGAAGTCAATCTTGTGAAAAACAGCATTGGGCAGTTTCAGGCAGCTCAGCCTAATGACCTATGGCTGTGAAGGGTCGGAGGGGAAAAAAACTCTTGCTCACACATAGAGACACGCACACACTCAGCACCCAAACCTCAAACCTGTTTCTCTTCTGGTAAGCAGTTAATATTGAAATGAGGAAGCAATGAGATGTCAAATGATGTCAGGCTGCTCCTTGCCATGTATGCATGCAGGCGGCTGGGGAACAAGACAAAATCAAAACCAAAAGAGAGGGAAAAAAAAAAAGAAAGTTCAGTGATATGATTTGATCAGCTACAGGAGGAGAGAGAACAATTAAAATGCAAAGGAAACCAGCACAATACAAAGAGAAAAGCTATGGAGGAAATTAGAGTCAAACTATCATATAATGCTGTGGTCTTACAAAAATTAAAAAAAAAAAAAAAAAAAAAAAAAAAAAAAAAAAAAAAAAAAAAAAAAAAAAAGCAAAAGAAATGTATGTGCCACACTTCTCCAGTGTCTTCTAGGGCTGGCAGAGGCCCATGTATTTGTACTTGGGAAGTGTAGCTCAAAGTTGCATCTGCAACTGAAAAGGCTTTTCAAGACTCTGGTTAAATTAAGAACAGGGTAAAGTGTGCAGGTGTCTGCATGCTTTGAGATACCTCTATGTCTATATAGAGAAAATTTCTGATTTGCATGCCCTCATGTAAATGTTTATATGAATAAGAAAGACACGTGAAATTTAGAAGTAAAAATCTAAAATCCAAACTCTTGAAAAAACTTGTGATAAGAGCCTTGAGTTTATTAACACCAGGACCTGAAGTGAAACTTCACAGACACCTGACCTGGCAGTGTTCCCAGCACCACACCCAGCACACTGCTGACAGCCAGCATTTCCGATGGCTCCTTAAATAAACTAAACAAGCTGTTACAAGGCTGCTGCAAATAACTGCTAGTAAGGTAATATGTCTGACACTTCCATGAAACCCTCTTCAAATACCTGCCCTGCAAGTGTGGATGCCTCTGTTCACCTCCTTAGGATGTTTTAAGGATTCAGTGTTTTTAAACACTCACTGGCATTTTCAGAAGACAGGAAAAAACAAAAGGAAAAAAATTCTGCCATGGTTGCTTATGAAAAACTGTGTCCTTCCACACCAAGAACACACCAGGACTTAGCCATACCTAATTAACGCTGCTCCTGATGTCTGGGTGTTGCTTTATTCTTGCTGCCCCTGCAGCACCAGCAGGTGATTTAGTGGTGAGTATGTCTCACAACTTCACTGAGCTCCAGCGGGGCACAGAGATCTGCTCAGAGGTGTGCAGCGGTTGGTGGTTAGAGGTATCAGTAGTCACTCCATAAGCAATTTGTAGCTGGCATTTTAGAGAAGTGGCAAGTTTCCTTCCTGGTCTGCGGCGGGCGGAGGAAGCAAGCAGCCGATTCAATGTGAATGATAGAGCAAGCTTCAACTTTATTGAAGGAAATCACACCTTATATAAGCACTCTACAATACACTACTTGTAACTCTATTGGATACATTAAAAAACCTACATTATAATATCTCAGCCATTGGATACATCGAAAAGGTCACATTGTAATATCCCAGCCCCTTGTGGCATTTCTGGTATGCATAAACATCTTTCTTGCTTTGAACCCGTTTCCCTCCCAGAGCTGTTTTTTCCTCACCCCCAAGGTCATAATGCGCCCCAACTTATCTCTTTGTTCTCACAACAGTCCCTGTTAGCATCACTGAGCCTTGAATCTCCTTCCTTATTAGTATAACTGTACCCTGGGTTTTTTCCTCTGTTTACCTCAGGTGGCTGTGACCGACTTCTGCAGGGAGCTATGGCCTTGCTCTCTGCAAGCTGTTCTCCAACACTGGTCAACTCAGGAAGACAGGGAATGTGCAGAGAGTTTGAGAGGGAAAATGAAATGCAAGCAAAGAAGGGCAAAAGAGTTTGCAGGGCCAGAGGTGTGAAACTGCTTTGATTGTCATGAGCAGCTGGAAAAAAAGCATCATTGTGTGAGGGAGAAGAAGGAGAAATGTGAGGATTCACTTGCAGAGGGTGCTGAGGAGGAATGAGTTAAGCTTTCTTCCAGAGGGGAAAATTCCCTGAAAAAAACGTATTTTGAGGGCATGGCCAGTAGTCATAATACTTATCTGTAAGCAGAAAAAAAAATATTTTAAAGAATGTTTCATCTCAGTCTTTCTAAAACTAAATGTTTCCTCTTTTCCAAATTACAGCTTTGTTTTGAAATGGATAGTTTTGCTGCTGTTGGGGCTCATAGAAGTGCAGTGAGTGCATTTTGGCCCTCCAACTACTCCAACTACTTTCTCATTAGTTTGGCCTCCAACCAAAAAGCCAATTGTTTGATTGAATCTCATGCTGAGCTCGGTGCCTTTGTCTGTCCCACCCAGCAGTACTGGTGTCGCCCAGTCACCTCCCTCAGGAGCAGCCGGGGATGCCTCTCTAGATACCATACTCATGGGCAGTTAGCTGTGAGCTCTGGATGAGTTTCTCTCTCACCATCGGCTGCAGAAGATCCTAGACCAACAGTGTTCCTACTTGAAGTATTTTGATGAGCTGTCGGAAATTATCTGGAGTGAGTCGTAGCCCCTGGCTCTGATGAAGCAGAGCTGTCAGGCAGACACTTCATTTGGAGCCGTCACTGCTCACACATCCCAGCGTTGCTGGATTATGTCCAGAGGATGCTGTGCCTTGCAGGGGTAGTCAGGCTTTGCAGGGCTCTGGAAGAGGGAGAAAATTATCTCAATTTTTCAGCTGAAGAAACTGAGATGTATAGCAAACAGTTCTGGCAAATCTGTCAGTGCTAGAGGTGAAAGCATGGGAGGGGGTTAGTGGGATGCTGATGAGGGAGTCCTCTCCAGGTGGCGGTGCTTCGCAGCTGCCGAGGTGCAAGCAGTGCGTCACCAGCCAGCCATGCCTGCACCAGGCACAGAACCCGTAACCCAGGCGGCTTGTTTCCTCTGTGTGCGGCAGCACCACCTCCGCTTTGCCAAGGTGTAAAACTTTATCTCTGCAGCTGGTAAATAGCTCTCTGCAGAGCCTTGGGTGTACCTCCCCGCTGCACTGGCTGCGACTGGGCTCAAGAAAACTGCTGTAGGATTATCTTCCTTTTCTCCCATAAACCAAAGCACCAAAGAATACCTCAAGAGTGGGCATCTACCAAATTTATACTGAGCCAGTCGACTATAACTGTTGGTTTTTAGGATGCAATTTCTTCTTGTAAGCTTATATCATTTAGCAGAGCTTGAAATAGCATCCAGAAATAGCAGGTCCCAATAGCTGTCTTAAAAGACTTAAAACCTCCTGACTGGTCCAGAAACTCATCTTTGTCCCTTTCCCAATCAAATGTATCAGGATAGCCTTGCAAGTCTTCTGTAAAACTCATATGATGAATGCTGCACTGGGAGAAGAAATCTTCCTAAACCCATCCTCTAAATAGGAACAAGACAACATAGCACCTAGTTCTTAAATGATGTATTTTATGATTGGGTTAATAATTGGATGTGAGGGGACTGAGTTGTACAAAGTCTGGAAAGGCTGAGCCTGGGAGGGAGCTCTGCGGGGCTAAGGGAAGGGGGGCAAATCAATGAACCTCACTATGCTACTCACTACTATAATGCCATCTGCTGTAACCACCTTGAACTTAATGAAATTTTCCCCTACAAAATAGTTATATGGATACATTTGTACGAAACAGAAGCATTTTTAGTGGGCAAGGGGTTTAGAGTATTGTCACTGTAGTGAGTGGCACTATGGTGGCAATGACAAGTAATCAGCCACTCGTTTGTTCATTTGGTTACTGACAGGATGGATGCTTTGGAAACCTGCAGAGCCTTCTCCTTCCTCACCCTTTTAACAAGGCTTTTCATCTAATCTTTGCATACAGCTCCACTCAGAAATTCAGAGGTGCAAATAACAAGCCTTTAAGTGGAACGCTTCCCCAACAGCCAGCGCACTGCTGCTCTGAAAGGTTAAAAATCAAGTTTTCTGTTTGATAAGGCCAAGAATCAATCTCCAGGCCATTGTATTGGCAGGTTTTTTTCCAGTAATTACATTGTTTGGCAACAGAAGGTACCATTTGAATCCATTCTGTAGTGGAAAATGATGAAAAGTCAGATTTTTTTTTTAAAAAAGTTCATATTAAACCCCCTCAAATTTAGACATGCATCTGAATGAAAGTTTCATTTAATTTTTAACTATATACTGCTTTGAGCAAAGCTTTTTAGTGGGGAGTTGGGTGGCAGGTTTGGACCTGACAGTAGTTAAAATATGAAAATAGCTTCTATAAACAGGGTTGTGCTCAACTGGGTCTTCAAGCAAAACATTCTTCACAGTTAATGTTTCTGATGGAGTAGACAGGAAACCTTTTAGTCTACATAGAAACAGGACAAGGGAGTCTACAAAAAATATTAAGGCAGTATATAAAGAGATGCTGAATACTCAGATGATTCAGGTATTAAACTGGTTGTATTTTCCAAACCTCCTCAGGTATATTGTGGTCCTTTGGAATCATTGTGAAATGAAAATGAAAAATAGAAGGCACTTCTGCAATCCTTCAAATCCTCTATAACAATTACATCTAAGAGATACAGCTTCACAATTGCCATAATATAGCCATGTTCAAAATTTAAACAGTCCAGCCTCTGGTGTCTTATTGAGTCCTAAAGCCCAGAGACACCAACAGCAATGAAACCACTTCCAGAGGAAAACCACAGCTAAAATAGACAAGCATTTTAGCTGGTTACCTGCGCCTGCCGTTTCTATTTCCATACAGATGACTATCCGAATTTCAATGCGAGAAATGTTAGGGGCTTTCAAATTATCCACAATTGTGCCAATTTAAAAATTTTTAAATCACCTTGCCTTCTGTGAGGAGCCAATCTCTGTTCCCATGGAAACAGAAACGGCAGCCTGCGAGCATCCGGCTTGATTTGTTACAACTCCTCTGAACCCATCTATGGTTGCGAGCTGAAAGCTGATTCATTATGCTCCAGACCCGACCACATCAGCCCTGCTCGGCTCTGAAACACGCTCCCTCTCCTTCTTTTAGAAAGAACTAT